TGTGGACACACGAAGCATGTGTTTGTGGAATGGTGATACTTGTGCGACTTTCTCCCCTCGTCTTGACATGTTCCTCTTCCTTCCTTCCCTCCCTCCCTCCCTCCCTTTCTCCTTCCTTCCCTCAGGCGGCCCTCCTGAAATCCTACATCCAGGAACACGTGCAAATGACAGGATCGGAAGTGGGCAAAAAAGTTTTGGCGGAATGGCCCGCCCCTATCCATCAATTCGTCAAGGTCATGCCCATCGACTACAAGCGTGTCCTCCGGCAGTTGGCTGAGGAAGGCGAGGAGGAAAATAGTGGGGACGAGGCACAGGTGGCCATCTCCTACTGAGGGGCGGGAGAAGGAATGGAGGAGGACGGGAGGGAGAGGGAGGAGGAAGACGGTACATGCGGGGGATGATTTATGGGAGAGAGCGGTGGAATTTATGACGTTGATAATGAGAAGGTACGAAACGGATACACAGGACTTGATAGGAAGAAAGGATAATTACTGAAATGTTGCGAGGATCGACAGGATTTAAATGGAGCGCCAATAATTCGGGGATGGTGATGCTCTCTGTGGTTGATCTCTTCCTCTGTGCGCGTAGGCTGAGTCTTGCCTTGAGAGGTCATGACGGAATGGGGAAATGTGGTGGTGCGTGGCACGGAAAGCCGTCGATCGTCTGATTCGTGTTGCGTGGCCTCCATTTCGACGCTGAAGAAGAGGGAAGCAGAAAGGAAGGGCGGGAGGTGAGAGAGGAAACTTAGTAGAGCGATGCATGGTTGTACATAATCACTAGGAGAGGGTACGAAGCAGCTGTTGGATATTATAGAGAGGCGTGATAAAAGAAAACCAGAGAATGACTAGATGCAAGTCCGGTGGAGGCAGCCGAGGCCATCCTCGCTCTTCCGCGTTGCGGCCGTTGGGCCTTAGAGGGATAAGAGCATACATTCAATCTTTGCGAAAAGCCTCCTTTATGTCTTTGTCCCGCCATTAAGTTTCTACGAAAAAGCGTTGCATTTTCTTCCAACAATGCCCGTTTCCCTTGATCTATGCCTCGACGCACTGAGCATCATCTGTGGTATATGTACACACGCTACGCTGGTCGTATCCCTCCCAGTTTCAATCCGTTTACTTTCAAGCTGCTCGTTTTTTTTCTAGGCAAAATTTCTGACGAAGCCTGACATCCTGGAAGGATTTCCCAAGATCCAATATCGCCGTTCCTCACTCCAGCCGTTCTTCCCACTGGCTCGGTCTCTCCTCCATTCCTTAACCCTGCCTCCTTTTC